ATCTAGTCGCAAAGTGATATTGCGTGAAATTTGAAGCTATTTCCGGCCTGCTACGGCAAAACCGGTTCCAGGAGCAGAATGATCTTGCGCGAACCTTGAATTTATTTTCGGGCTACTTTTACTTAAAAGTCCAAAACAAACTATTTCACACACCAGTTTAGCAATCCAAGAACACCTTTCGTTCCAAACACTGGCACAATGTATTACGCGTAGAGTGACAGGACTAGACCGGTTTAAGCTTTGCCCACGGGACCAGTCATCCTCTGCGCGGCTCCGTCACACAGCAGTCCTCCAGAAGTCAAGAAGGCGACAGGATCGCTGAGTGGTCGGGGTGCACGATGGATGGGAAGGAGGCGCCGCCAGGCATAATTAGGGACAAAGCGCCCACGAGCCGCGGTTATCAATCACGGCTTGTACAGGGCGCAATCAACGACAGAGAGATCACAGAAAGGGTGAGAAGATGGATAGATGTGCCGAACGTTTCGTAATATCGCTTAGTGGCGTCGCTTTCGCATAATGAGCGCGATCATCGGTTATCCTGATTGAAGGTTTGTGTGCTGTCATATCACCTCAAACAGCCAGCCGGGAAGGGCATATGTGTGCCGCAGCAGATGTCCCTTGCGATAAAGATCTCCATCTGCAGAACACCACCAACGCATCGCAAACGCCTGCTGCGGCAGCACGCTATAAAGCGTTTCATTTCATCGATGCATCGAACTTAACTTGGTGCAGATTGCGCTGGAAAAGCGGCGAACTACTGGGACAAATAGTCAAAAATGCCTTTTACCCGTCAAGGCAATGCTGTCCATGATATTGCGATGATTTCAAGGAGTTCTATCGCAAAATCCGAGCCGAATACCACGTCGGAAAAAAGAGTAGCCCTCCGTGTTGTGCGGCGAAAGCACTCTCATTCAGCCTGCCCAACAGCTTCCGGCTAAAACACGTCGCTTCCAAACATCCAGCACTCAGCATCAATCGAGGACCTTTCACAAATACGTCAGTCGCGTGCGGCTGCTTTACCTGGCGCGCCAGGCAGCGGGCATCCATCAGAGAGAGCTGACAATCACCAATAGTGATCGCGGCCGGGCTGGCAGCCGCCGGCCAGCGTAAATCACGGCTACTTGGCCGCCGTGGCGGGCTTCATTACGCACGAGCAGCCAATAGCGCCCGATTGATTCGCGCATACTCGGACGAGGCGGGCACGAGGCGCGACTGCATGAGCAGGAGGGACTGTGGGGGAGGCGATGGAGGCCAGAGATGTGGCTGCCTGAGCACGGCGTGGTTGTAGGCAGAGGGGGTGGGGAGGTACGCGATGTGACTACATAGCAACCCCCCGGACTGTGGTCACGCGGGGACGGATGACACAATATGTCATTGCATGAATTGTGAGTACTCACACGGATAGGTGGGATAAACACTCAATGATGAATGCAGAAAGCAAAAATTGCGATGTCTGTGTACGCAGCGTGGTACAGAATCCAAAGGTCATGGTCAGGGTTGGACACAATCCGTTGCGCACACGACACATGACACAGACACACACAACACACGAAAGGGGCGCGCCCCCAATGGAATACGCCTCGCTATAAATACTGACAATGTCATAGTTTAACAAAAGGAAAGCTTTGCCATCAGAAATAAATCATATAGCAACCCGGTTTCACTCATGATCACAATCACAGCTCAAAACGTCAAGTTTTGTGACGCAAAACTTATGCATTACATGTTTGGTAGGTCCCCGGATCTGCTAAAAGTCACTGCGAGCTGTCTCCCGGCCACAATGTACCCATAAAAGTAGACTTGTATCTAAAGACATAACATCAGGAGCAGAGTCATTCCATTACTTAGATTACAGCAAACAGAGAGCCAGTGCCTCTCTCAATCCCAAAAATGATTACTGCAGTATGTACAGAAACATAACATGATAAAATGCCCTCATCTCAGAAAATTAAGCAGAATGCACATCACTTCCAAGAGGTCTCTTGGATTGTATTCATTTTAAAACTACTAACGTCCGGAGCCAACGACTCGAAGGAGCTTACAAGGTCCGAAAATGCAGCCTTTGTTTATTATCGAAACGACGAAATCAAATTATTTTCTTTTCAGCCATTCTCGTTGACGAACAGCATTACGCTGCGCTCCGACGTTACGCAATGAAATATAATTAGCGCTAACTCGATGAAATCGAAGATCTAACTTTTTCACAACTCCCGCAAAAACACGCGAGACACGTTTGTGGTACCAACAAAGGAGAGTAAAAACGTCACGCCAGCCAAACACAGTAAGCCCATGTCGGCAGCAGCAGCTTCTTTTTCCATCCAGACACGTTTTCTGTCCCCACACAACGCACACGCTCGTCACACAGGTAAGCACGCGCGCACGCGCACACGCGCACGGCACAAGAGTGTACGCACCGTCCTGCCAGCGGTCCTGCGTCTGGCACCGCCTCGCGAGCCGACGGCTGTGTCCATGAAGCCGGTGGCCACGCGCGTCCCGCTGTGTGCGCTCCAGGGTAATCTGGCGATTTATCACGGCTCGGCAGCTGTATTGACGCGGCCCGCCGGCAGCCAGTCGGCGCAATGCGGCGCACAATGGCCCGCGGGCCACACGACACCGGCCGGCGGTCGCACGCGCCGGAAGCCCCGCACCCCGCTCACAATGCGCCCGGCCGAGCGCCGCCCGCTTCCGTAAGGCCACACGGGCGCGTCCGGTCCCGCCCGGCCGGCCAGCCAGGCAGGCAGGTAGGTGGCAGCCGCCTGCCCACGTGACGCGACAACGGCCGGCGCAGCGGTGCGGCGACGAGTCACGTGACTGTGCAGAGTGGTCGCGTCGCGCGAGGCAACGGCCGCCCGGTGACCAGACGTGACAGGGCATCTGACCCGAATTGCCTGGCCAATAGACGGCCACCAGCGCCCGAGGCCGGCGAACATTGTGAAACCGTGCCCAGCCTGATTGCCTGGACCTTTTAGCAGCTTCCCCAGCCGCATCTGATAAGCGCCGGCGGAAAAACTGTCAGCTGTGACTACCAATTGCGTCAGTTGATTACGGCTAGATGATACTAAAAATTTTACCGGCGCACGCACGAAACACGACGCAATAAAGGCTTGATGATATCAGGGCGCGGAGAGTTTCTCCGGGAGGTGGTGTGGCGCGGCGCGGCGCGACGCCGACCCATTAACCATTTCACGGGCCCGCTTAAAGCCTGGGCTCCGGGGCCCATTTACTTTTGGGCGCGTCGGAAACGGATAAGACGTCAGGCCCGAATCGGCGAGGGTGTGAAGCGCATTTTAATCCATGTTTACGAGTTTTCACATTACGTATTCACCGAGGACGAAGCGCGCGGCGGGAGGCGGCCCAGTCTTTATCCAAGTCAGCAGTTTATCGCGAGCCGGCATAGAAAAGACCAGTGTGAGCAGGATGGGCCCAAAAACCTGAATGGTGGCGACAGCTATTTGAGTGGCGGCCAGAAAAATGCCCGACACGTAGACAGCTGGAGCCGGTTCAAATTGAGACGTATTCAGAGAAAGCTCATTTTCAGCGAATACCAAGTATCTACACGTTCTACCAATTCTGTTCTCTCCTGCTTCTTCAGTTTAGCCCTTTGCTGATCGGATCAGTCCCCTCCTCCTCTCTCTCCGGCTCTTTCCCATCCATCGCCTCCTACATTATATACTCGCTCTAGCAAGTCAGCGTCATCTCCTCACAAAGAGGTGCGCATTTCGCAGACGTTAATCTCACAATGACAATGCTCCACTCACGGCCGCTCCTTCTATCGGCTATCGGCATGCGCGCCCTGACTATTCAGAGCTACGCCCTTCCTTTTCAGCACAGCAACGAAGCTCGGTGGAACGACCTCCTTGTGCTCGTGAACAACGCCCCATCACTCAGGTGACCAGGACTTTGTTAGCCGACGCCCGTGCGCGGAGATCGAAAACCGGCAGCTCTCCTGCCAGAGGCGCTGAAACAAACTCCACCGCGTCTCGTTGAAGCTTGGAAACACTCTCAGAGCTGCGAAAGCATTGACATCCGAACCCGTCTGATGGATTCCACCCCCGCAAAAAGCTGCCCGTCGCCGTCGATTTCTAACCGTCGTCGGCACACGCCGTCGTTGGGGCATAATGCCAATTAAGTCAAAATCTTCCGAATCATCGCGTTTTCATCACGGAGATGGATAGCCTCTGATTAGCGGTGCCCCTTTTTCATCTGTTTGTTCTGGACCTCATAAATTATTCACCGCTCGTGCGGGCCGTGTGCGTGAGCGTGTGGGTACCGACGGCAGGAGGGGCACGAACCAACTGCGTGCAAATGCCGCCTCTCTCGCGTTACAACGCTAGGCACCGCGAGCAGAAAAGGCCGCACAACGGTCACGATCGGTGGCCAAACAGAGGCAGAACACGTTGTGCAAGCGAGTGATGTCTGAGGTATTGCAGTGCACCACTAGTTAGAATCTTGTGTCAAATATGCCGCACGTTTGGCTATACTGGGAACTATGTGGCCATCCTGACATTCGTATCAGTTGGTTTGTGGCATAAAGCTCAAGAAACAAATAATTGGTAGAAGCGTGCCAAAAATAATCAAGTCTATCCGAATCTAGTCCGGCGTTCAGCGTCGAAATCGACTATAACTGCTAGCGCCATCCAGCGGCGCCGACGCAAAATACTAGTTCGCGTCGAATCCTGTGGCAGGACGGCGCAGGGATAGCTTGAAATGCTTCGCGAATGCCATTCTAGCACAGTGTATCTATCTGAACACAATTCATAGATAAGCCTACATAATAGCAGAATGTATTTCTAAGCGCAATCCATACGCACGCGTTGGCACACATACGACGGCCGGTTGTTACCAATACCTCAGCGTGTCACAGGGCGACAGCCGCCTGTGACGTTCCATTCCTGTGACATTTCATTCTGTGACATTCCATTCACGACAGACAGACCCATCATGACGACCACTTTGTGCAAGGCCGCCCGCGCCTCCACCACACTCCCACGCCCACTTACGGCGTTGTCAGCCTGCGTCCAGCCGCGCACGGAGCCCTCCGCGTACTGCTGCTCGTGGCAGGGTGCTCCTTCGACGTAGCCGTTCATGCTGCAACAGAGGAGAGCACCGTCAGCCCGGAGGCATGCGCGCCGCCGACCGCAGCGGCGCACCGACAGAGATCGGTGCGGCGATGACCGGATTAGTCGGGATACACGCCGCCGTCGGACATTCCTCCGACTGGTGCACGTAGGTGTGCGGGCAGACAACGAGCCGATACCCGGAGATTGCGGCCGGCGCGGCCGCTTCTGAAGTCCGCCGCCGCCGAACGGTAGTCGGCGCGCGCCGCCGGCGGGCCACGTGCTCACGTGCTCACGTGCCGGCGCGTGGCCGCCGTGCCGCGCGTCATCGGGCCGGGAAGGTGATCCGGCGGCCCGCCTATCCAGGTCCAGGCTCAGCGCGGCCTGGCTGCTGCCAGGCTTCACCCGAGCGGCAGCCCGGCATCCTGGTTAATTCGGGAAGAGCGCTTCGGTTATCGCCAGGGCAAATGCGGGATGGGGCGGCTGGTGAGCCGGCTGGCAACCCGCCCCCCTGACCAGAGTGGCCTAAGCATGTCGCAGGAATCAGCGCGCTTTTCAAGTCGCACCCGCATGCTGCCGTTAACGCCTTCGCCAGCGCGCGCCTCAGAGACAATGTGACCATCACGTGGGCGTCACGTGCATCCGTGGTGATGCTTATTTCCTCGCGAATCTTGCGGATTTGTCCAGATCTGTCCAGATTCGTTTGAGATACGTCCAGACCCGTTCTCCACCAACCGGCGAGCTGACAAACATCACCCGCCGCCGCCGTCTCCCCAATCTCCGTTGCGCTGACCCCCCCCCCCCCCCAAACAACCCCCGCCCGTCGGTCAAACGTCCACCGCTCGCCCGGTCCAGCCGGTCACGGTCCATTCAGCGATCTAGGCTAACGTGCCGGCTGCGGCCGTGACCTTGCAACGCTGCTGTTGCAGAGTGCCTGCGATCTGAGCGTGTCACACCCCCTTCTGCTGGGCGCAGAGGACGGGACTGGAGCATCGGCGCTCCGAAACCCCCCACCCTGCACCAAATGCAGTCTGTCTTTGGCATGGACGGTGGATTCTCGGATTCCTCTGACGGAGCGCCGAGCAAACTCTACCGACCGCTGCACTCTGCAACATGGGAAATATAAACACAGCCACGCGCGCAACCTTGCCGCCTGCTGAGCCGGGTCGCGGCGGTGCCGGGCACTAACTGCTCATTATTCAGCAGAGCTATTGAGCAGACTCATTGCTCAGCCCCGCACCCCCATTCGCCTGACCCGCCAGTCCTGACCTCCCTTCCCAGCGGGGCCCGGCACCCTACGACCAGGTAGACCTCGACCTGCCCTCCCGGCCCGTCGACGACCGACCCCAGTCGCTGTCTCCCCTGGCGCGCGCTTGCACCGGGTGGCCCGCCCGCGGGATCAATGGCACGCACCATCCGCGGCGCGGCGGCCGCCCGCGGCGCGGCGCACCGCCGCGAAAACCGGCCGCGCCGCCGGCGGGGGCGAGCAGCGCTGCAATGCGCGTCGCGTCGCACCGCTAACTGATTTCCAGCACGCGATCCGGCCCGCGGCGGCGTCAGCGGTGGCGGCGGCGGCGGCGGCTTGTGGCCCGCCAGGTCTCCTGTCCTCGGGTCGACCGCTGTGTGGCAGTCCGGCTGTCCGATCGGTGGAACAGCGGACACGGAGAGACGGCACAATACAGAGCGACGGACACAAGCCGCCCGGAGACGAGCGAGACGGACGCGCAGGGGTCGCGCGGCGACGGCAGGCGCGCGTCACCAAGCAGGGCTGTAAGGCGGCCATCAGCGAGACGTCCGTCCGACGTGAGGACACCACGCCGTCGCCTACCCCGCCGTTGCTCCGGCGAGAGCCGCACCCCCTTGGCCTCGAGACAGGCAGCGGTGAGCGAGCCGTGGTGCTGGGCAGCCCCAACCAGCTGCAGCACAGTGCCGAGATCGCTGACGCACCGGATGTGCGGATGTGGCGGCGGTGCGGATGTGCCCATTGGGAGCCGGTGAGCCGGCCGTGCTTCCACGCGGCTGAGGCTCGTGACCAGCGGGTCTGATGAGCGACAACGCCCCGCCATCGCCGGCGGCATCAGATCGTCGCCGACACGGGTCTGATGAGCGGCGGCGCCCCGCCATCGCCGGCGGCATCAGATCGTCGCCGACGCGGCACTGCCGTGTCCCAGCAGCCGATCAGGCGCGCCTGAGGAGGATGTTCCACAGCTCAGGTAACCCGATAACGGCCGGCCGATGAGCTGATCTGGCCGGCAGAGCCAGGTCGAAGCCGGAATCAGAGCCACACGGCCGGACCACAGAGCGCCAGCGCTGGCACCAGAGCGGGACCAGAGCGGCGGCGCTGGGACCAGAGCCGGACCAGAGCGGCGGCGCTGGGCGGGCCGCCCCACACACTGTGCCAGAACGGCGGCTGACCTCTCGCCGGGCCATGAACTACGGACTATACGGCCTGATGGCTGCACTTGGAAACGTTGCAGCGGTTAATGGACCGCCGGCACGAATAAATTGGCCTACGTTTTAGGCGCAGAGAATGCTAACATTCGCCACACTTTCGAACACTTTCGATTGTGACTTGCTGTCTCCTGTCTGCTCTGCGCTCTCGCAAGCCCCAGGGAGCGGTCAGCGGAGCAGCAGGGGCGGGGCGGGGTGTCCCCTGACGATCAGTTTGCCCCGGGGACTATCCATCTCGACTGGACCACGGGGCGGGTGTCCCCTGACGATCAGTTTGCCCCGGGGACTATCCATCTCGACTGGACCACGGGGCGGGGTGTCCCCTGACGATCAGTTTGCCCCGGGGACTATCCATCTCGACTGGACCACGGGGCGGGGTGTCCCCTGACGATCAGTTTGCCCCGGGGACTATCCATCTCGACTGGACCACGGGGCGGGTGTCCCCTGACGATCAGTTTGCCCCGGGGACTATCCATCTCGACTGGACCACGGGGCGGGGTGTCCCCTGACGATCAGTTTGCCCCGGGGACTATCCATCTCGACTGGACCACGGGGCGGGTGTCCCCTGACGATCAGTTTGCCCCGGGGACTATCCATCTCGACTGGACCACGGGGCGGGGTGTCCCCTGACGATCAGTTTGCCCCGGGGACTATCCATCTCGACTGGACCACGGGGCGGGTGTCCCCTGACCGTCAGTTTGCCCCGGGGACTATCCATCTCGACTGGACCACGGGGCGGGGTGTCCCCTGACGATCAGTTTGCCCCGGGGACTATCCATCTCGACTGGACCACGGGGCGGGGTGTCCCCTGACGATCAGTTTGCCCCGGGGACTATCCATCTCGACTGGACCACGGGGCGGGGTGTCCCCTGACGATCAGTTTGCCCCGGGGACTATCCATCTCGACTGGACCACGGGGCGGGGTGTCCCCTGACGATCAGTTTGCCCCGGGGACTATCCATCTCGACTGGACCACGGGGCGGGGTGTCCCCTGACGATCAGTTTGCCCCGGGGACTATCCATCTCGACTGGACCACGGGGCGGGGTGTCCCCTGACGATCAGTTTGCCCCGGGGACTATCCATCTCGACTGGACCACGGGGCGGGGTGTCCCCTGACGATCAGTTTGCCCCGGGGACTATCCATCTCGACTGGACCACGGGGCGGGGTGTCCCCTGACGATCAGTTTGCCCCGGGGACTATCCATCTCGACTGGACCACGGGGCGGGGTGTCCCCTGACGATCAGTTTGCCCCGGGGACTATCCATCTCGACTGGACCACGGGGCGGGGTGTCCCCTGACGATCAGTTTGCCCCGGGGACTATCCATCTCGACTGGACCACGGGGCGGGGTGTCCCCTGACGATCAGTTTGCCCCGGGGACTATCCATCTCGACTGGACCACGGGGCGGGGTGTCCCCTGACGATCAGTTTGCCCCGGGGACTATCCATCTCGACTGGACCACGGGGCGGGGTGTCCCCTGACGATCAGTTTGCCCCGGGGACTATCCATCTCGACTGGACCACGGGGCGGGGTGTCCCCTGACGATCAGTTTGCCCCGGGGACTATCCATCTCGACTGGACCACGGGGCGGGGTGTCCCCTGACGATCAGTTTGCCCCGGGGACTATCCATCTCGACTGGACCACGGGGCGGGGTGTCCCCTGACCGTCAGTTTGCCCCGGGGACTATCCATCTCGACTGGACAGCAGCGGTGAGATCGCGCCGCTTCATCTGGTGCGCCAGATCTGGGCCGGGGCGCGATGGACGCCGCAGCGTCGAGGGGCGCCTCGCTGAGAGATGGTGCCCAGGAGACTCATTGCCCGCCGCCCCGTCACCCGTCACCAGCGGGTCGCCTCTGCGGGTCTGTCGCTGGCGCGGGGTCGGAGCCGAGGGGCTGAACGCTTCCGTGTCGGTCTGGAGGCTGCGTGGCCACGTCGGCCCGAGGTGCGGGCCCGGCAGGCACGCCTCTCGTGCGGGCTGGCGTGCCTGGTTGATGCACTAAACCGGCAGGAGCGTGATCACGTCCAGATTAGACGAACAATCCGCGTGATTCTTCCGTGGATGGAGCGCCCACTGACACAAATCCGCGTGCCGTCTGCGACTGTCTGAAGCACCCCCCCCCCCCCGCACCCCCCCCCCCTCCGCCGCCCGAGGACTGGCCGTAGCAAATGGAGCACGGAACGGTGTGAGCAGTTGGCAGATCCGCCGGCCCATTAGCACGGTATTAGAGCGTAAGTTACAACTCGTATCGGGACCGGGCCCGTAACGGCGGCCCCTGGAGCCGACCTTCACCCAGTTCGCGCGGCTTGGATCACCCAAGGAGGGCGGCCGAGTGGGCGGGGCCCAGCCGCAGCGCCGTCAAGGCTTCCGACAAGCCGACAGCCATGCGTCGGCGAGGCGCGACTCGACGAATGGCCAGTCCGCGAGGCGACCTTCGGCCGGCCGCGCTGGTCTATTGCCTCGGGGCGAACTGCGTTGGGCCAATGCGGTGTTTAGCGCTGAAGGTGTCACGGTACGTTCCAATGATCGCGTCGATTTGTACTTTTCGAAACGAGGCCATTTCCGTTCCAGGCAAGCAA